GTTCTTCCAGTTTGTCCCTGGGATAGTATTGCAGGTAGGCCACACCCCTGGGGAAACTACCCCTAGACCGACCGGCCGCTTAGAACGCAGTCATGTGATCCATCATGGGAACCACGACTCACAGCTGGAGTCCAGCCAAGTTGACACATCTTCAACTATCACAATGACACCTAACCACAACTGTAATAGTTGCCATGTTGTAATTTCTACTTAAATGTATAAACATTCCATCAACTCAGCAACAACTCAACTCACTGCCATTGAGTTGGATCCGACTCTTAGTGACCTCTCCTTGGGTTTACGAGGTGGTATCACTATGGAAGTAGATGGCCCAAACTTCTTTCCGAGGATGACTGGTGGGTTTGAACCACCAGCCTCTGGTTAGCAGTCATATGCCTTAGGCACCAGAGCTCCATAAACACTCATAAAGCCTTTTTGTTTCCATTAAGGTCGGACTATTAGGGATTCAAATATTATGGACACGGGATTCAGAAGAAGCTCTTAGAAATGCCAAGTCTGATAAAAAAATCATGCAGAAAACCAATCAGTCTTTCCTGGACCTTCTGAACACACTGATCGACATCACCACAAAGGATCTGAGTTCTATCGAACGAATCAAATATGAGACTTTGATTACCATTCATGTACACCAAAGGGACATCTTTGATGACCTGGTAAGTGCTTTGTAAGTGCCATGGCGAAGGTGGGAAAACATGAATGACATGCTATCTGTATTTACTCACTGGGACGAGTTTGACTGAATTCTAGGAAAAGGTTAAATGCAAGCAAAGGGTCATCTTCATTATGAGAACTCGTTTGTCAGATTTTCTTTTCTGTCTTTACCTGAAATTTTTGCCATATCCCTTTGATGGTGATGATTGAAACAGTCGGATGTTAGTTTAAAGTGTTTCACGTGATTATTTTCAATGTTCAAATGCCATGCAGTGTCTGGAAAAGCTCTTACTTATCTGATGTTCCCTGTAGTGATTAACAGTGTATCAACAGCTTGCCACCACAGAAATAAGTAATATTGCTACCAGAACTGTTTTGCACTTCCTTTAGGGCTTTTGATAAATCTCATCCTTAACAAGTTTTGCTACATTTTATGTCATTGATTGCAAATGGTCTTTCCTAATAGTTTCTGGCCATTTGGTGTCATGCAGACTTTAAAAGAGAGAACAAGGAGAGCAGAAGGAGTTCAAATGCTATAGAAAGTGGGAAATGTGAAAAGAAATTAAATTTGTTCTCTACTTTAAAATACGGAATTAAATAAGACGCAAGAAGCTCTTATTTTCATAATAATTTCCTGGCGTGCCTCACCCCATTATGTGAAAAAGGATTATGAAAGATTGGCCCTGATGTAATGAAAGTGGGGCAGCACATTTGAGTGGCTGGGTGGCTAATCTCCTCTCTTAATGGTTAAGACCATTATTTCCCTCTCTGAGAAATAAATGACTCAGGATAATTTTAGACTTCTTCTTGGTCAAAGCAAAATTATTCAAGTGGCTTAAAGTTTTGGTTAAAAAAGTCTGACAGGCCTTGTTAAGCAAGAACCTAGTATCTTGCCATTTATATGAGAGGATTTGATGCTAGAAATGTTGACGCTACGCAATTCCTGTGGAAAAAAATATTAATGGATTAAAAACCCTACAGTGCACTTTGTCATCATTAAAAGAGATGTCTTTTTCCTAATGAGATTGCTTAGTTTTGTTTCTGTGCCAAAGATGGTTTTGATAGATTGTATTTCATGAATAGGACCGTGGTATTGGGCATTTGAGGATGATGTTTAAGAATGAAATCTCTTACATTGAAATCCATATACTAAAAACAAACAAACAAGAAGCCCAGTTGCCACTGAGTCGACTCTGACCCCATGTGTGTCAGAGTCGAACTGTGCTCCATGGGGTTTTCAGTGGCTGAGGTTTTGTAAGTAGATCACCAGGTCTTTCTGCAGACGTACCTTTAGGTAGACTCGAATCATCAGTCTTTAGGCTAGCGGCCAAGCATGTTAACCATTCTCATCCTCCAGGGACTACACTGAAATACATTCAAACTGTTGCCATCAAGTTGATTCTGACTCATGGCAATGCCGGGTGTTATAGAATAGAATTTCTTTGCTCTAATCTTTATGGAAGCAGATCTCCAGACATTTGCTCCATAGCACTGCTGTATGAGTTTGAACTGTCAACCTCCTGGTTAGTACTTGACTGTAAATCGTGTCATAGTGCCATTTAAGTTGGAGGGAGTCTCAGTGAGGGGTTTTTCTTGAGTTTTCCCATTCTCATTTCTTCCTAACTGTCCTTGTTTTTGATCAAATTTAACTCATCCTACATCTCTGGACTTTGTGGTTGATCAGTAAATGAGTAGGCTGCATGGTTGATAGAGTTGATATCTCAGAACTAGTTGGTTGTCTGAGTTCCATTTACTGAGCTTTACAGTCCAGACAAATGCTAACGTATATGTTTTGTTAATGCTTCTTATCCCCATTTTAACAAATACCCCTTGCATTTCAGTGTCACATGCACGTCAAGAGCCCCACGGACTTTGAATGGCTGAAGCAGTGCAGGTTTTATTTTAATGAAGATTCTGACAAAATGATGATCCACATCACAGATGTGGCTTTTGTTTACCAGAATGAGTTTCTGGGCTGCACGGACAGGCTTGTCATAACTCCACTCACAGACAGGTGAGGAAAGGACTCTGGGACTCCTCCTGCCACTGCAACCCCCTGCCACTACTCCCCCCCCCCCATTTTATTCTCTCAAGTTGCTTAAGGGTTTTTTTGCTTAATACCTTGTCAGAGTTTATAACCTCTTATACCAAGGCCTCTGAAATTCTGCATTTTTAGGTTTACATGTGTGTTCCCACATGCCAGTTAAGTTTGTGACTGAAATAGTTCTAGCTTCCCTTGCCTTCAATCTTACAACGTTTAAATGACTTCAAAAACAAAAACCCAAACTCAGGGTCATCGAGTGGATTCCAACTTACAACAACCCTATGGGACAGAATAGAACTGCCTTACAGTGTTTCCAAGACTATAAATCTGTAAGGAAGCTGATTGCCTCCTCTTTCTCCTGTGGGGTGGCTGGTGATTCGAATTGCTGACCTTTTGGTTAGCAGCAAAGCACTTCACCACCACACCGCCAAGGATGCTTGAGTACCCTCAGTGGACATTAAAAGGGCAAGAAAGAGAAGGAAGGAATTGCCAAGTGTCAGTAGATACCAGGCACACTCGGTGAATATGGTGCCTGTTGTCATTAACCAACAGTTGCTGTTGAGTTGATTCCAACTCATGGTGCCCCCATGAGTAGAACATACTCCACAGGCTTTTAAATGGCTGCTTTTTCAGATGCAGATCATTAGGGTTTTTGTCTGAGCCACTCTGGGTGGACTTGAACCTCGAAACTTTCAGTTAAAGCTGAGCGCTTTGACCATTTGCACCACCCAGGGACTCATAATCATTGATATCACAGTTTTAGCACCATTTCCTTCAATTCTTCTCAAGCATGTCCAATAACCAAAAAGGCTGTAACTAAACTAAGATCTCAGCAAAGAAGAAATCCTTGCTGATTCTCTATCATTGTTGTCTCAGGAAGGTTTTCAGCATTTTATAAACTACGCTGTTTAAGACTAACAACTGAAATCACTCCTGGTTTACATGCATCTAAAGTACTAGGAACATGTAATATTAATGTTGGTGATGGATTTGGTTAGGTCAGGTGCTAGTGAACCCAGGTCCTGGGGTTGGTTACAGTTCATTTGATGTTATGGAGGTCATGTTCCGCATGTATTATGGAAGGAGCTTGATGATAATGTAGAGGTGGACCATCACAAACCATTTACTCAACAGTTGCTCATAGAGCAATAGGTACCAGGTGTTTAGCATATAGTTGGGAGCACAGTTGTGAATGAGGTCCAGCTCCTGACAACAAAGAGATGACAGCAGCCTGGTGGGAAGGCAGAAAACTATAACAGAGATGTGAAAAGGCCACTAAAATGCATAAAAGTTCAAACCTTTTCATTCCTTTTTTTTTTTTTTTTTAATTATGATTTGGGTGAAGATTTACAGAGCAAATTCACTCTCCATACAGCAGTTCACATACACTTTGTCTCATGACATTGACCACAGTTTACCACAATGCAACAGCTCCCCTCCCACTTCCTCCCCATAGTTACCTCTTCCCTGTGTCCTTCCCTCCATGCACTCCTGCCCCCTGAGCTCTCTCCTTGTGCATAAACAGCCCTTCTTTCTCCCATGATTGTTCTCTCCAAGGAGAGTTATCTACCTCAGGTAAATGTTCAACTCATATGCCTGTCTTTTGTTTGGTGGAAACCACAGGTGTGAGTTCAATTCCAGACCTGAAGCGCAGCTAGGGTCCATAGTCTCAGTGGTTCCACCAGGCTCTATCGGACCAAGAAACCTGCCCCCCCCCTTTTTTTTTTTCCAAATGATTTTGAGTTTTGTACCACATTGTTCTCCCTTTCTATCCAGGATCTCCTACATAGATCCTCTTCCAAGTGGATGACAGTGGTAGCCGGGCACCATCTAGTTCATCTGGTCTCATAGTCATATAGGCTGCATATCAGATGGTGTGCCAGTCGCTAGGACTAATTGTTTCCATGAATTTTGGTTTTCTTCATTCTTCTTTGTTCTGGACCAGGAGAAACCCATCGTTGCATCTAGATGGCCACTTGCAAGCTTTTAAGATTCCAGTTGCTACTAGCCAAAGTAGAAGGTGGAACAGTGTTTTGTATAGTATGTTATGCCAATTGAGCTTGATGTCCCCTGCGACTATGGTCCCAAGCCTGCAAGGTTCAGCTACTCGGTCCCTCTGGGTAGCTGGCTGTGACCAAGCGGTGACCATGACCTTGCCCCTGCAATACACCTGGGAATTCAGATCAAACACATAAACTTATAGGACCATTTCTGCCAATCCTATACATGTACTTGGATACACTCCCCATTTCATAGACATACCTAATTGTTCACCCTGTCCACCCATCTGTCCACCCATATACCCATGTTAGCCTTCACTGACAATGTAGTACTGTATGTGCAAAAAGGTTCATATTTGTTGTCTCTACCTCCCATGTACCTCTCTGTCTTTCTCTTCCTCAGTGCCACCATATTGGTCACTCACATTTGGTATATTGCCCTTCTCTTCATCCAAATCAATACTTATCTCTATCTATCTAACAGCATTCCATCCCCTCCTTCCCACCCCTGGTAACCAACAAATAAAATTTCCTTCTATAGATAAACCTTTCCTTAATGTTTACCATAACAGACTAACACAACATTTGTCCTTTTGTGATTGACTAATTTCACTCAGCATAATTTCCTCCAAGTTCATCCATGTTATGCGGTGTTTTACAGATTCTACAGTATTCTTTAGTGTTGCATAGTATTCCATTGTGTGTATGTACCATAGTTTGGTTATTCATTCCTCAGTTGATGGACACCTAGGTTGTTTCCATCCTTTGGGTATTGTAAATAGTGCTGCAATGAACATGGGTGTGCATATATCTGTTCTTGTCATGGCTATCACTTCTTTAGGGTATATACTTAGTAATGGAATGGCTAGGTCAAATAGTATTTCTAATTCCAACTT